CCCCCCCCCCCCCTCTCTCTCCTTTTCTTTTCTTTTAATAAATTATGTAGGTGATTTCCTTTTCTGATGATGCAGGTATCTTGTGGGGGCACACATTCTGTTGCACTAACACATGATGGTCGTATGTTTTCTGTGAGTATCAGACACTCTTTTCCTTCTAAGTCTTCAATTTGCATAAGCTAGGTTCATGCTAAAGCCCATCTTTTACTTTGGTTTAAAAATCAAGGAAAACATGCAAATGTCTTGTCTAAAAGCTCATTAGCCAGTTTGTTATAGCAACAAGCATTTCAATAATAATCTTGTGGGCAATCTGCATTTAAGCATTTGGTAAAAGTTGAAATGTGAGTCTGTTGTACAATGGTTAAATGCTTATATCTCCGGCATCTGTAGATAATACCTCATATTTCCATTTGAAAATCCATCTCCAAGGGAGTGAGAGCAAGAGTTCATCAGAAAATTCTATCTTACCTTATGGCGTTTAAAACGTTAGATAAAGAGATTGAATGCATAATCATTTGGTGTAATAAATCATTACGATACAATTGATGATTAGTTATTCTGCATTACTGTCTTACTGCCCTAACTTGAAGATAAACTAACAACTCGCTATTTGTATGTGGCAGTTCGGGCGGGGAGACCATGGACGATTAGGATATGGTAGAAAGGTGACAACTGGCCACCCATCAGAAGTTCCGATAAATATTCCACCTCCAAGTGATGTCAGCAGCACTGAAGGAGGGCGTTGGTGCGCTAAACTCGTTGCTTGTGGTGGCCGCCATACTCTGGCGATTGTAGAGTGGCAGGCAGAATCCGAATAGTCGGTATGAAAGTGTGAGATGTAAATCTGAATTCAGATAGATATCTGATTCAGTGTCACTGTTGTATAAGGTGGTTGCACTTGTAATATGAAGATTATGACCTGCCCATGTGATTGAGGTGGTAAATCCAGTTTTAAGATGGGGTAGAGAGGCACGGGATATTATAAAGAGGCAGTAATGTGTAGGATTAATAGAATATGCTCTACTGGTACTATATTGAGAATAAGGGAATTTTTCTTTCTTGCTGCTTGAATCTAGGTATTGGAATTACAATGCCACGAGCGCGAATTTTTGTACTGGTCTCATGCACGCAGCATAGTCGAATGCGTTTATTCTCAAAAAGGGGTTATTCTTTTTAGAACGAACCGGAAAGGAAATAGGTTAACATAAACTGGAACTGAGGGAGTAATTGTACTTTGGCTCCCTAACCGTCGGGGGAATCAAAGAAGAGGTAAAGGCAGGTCGATAAAATAACGAGGAGCGGTGATTAAGTAGGATATGAAGCTCATCTTTAGCTTAGTGAGGATATGACTCTTGATAGGCGGGTATGGAGGTCGAGAATTAAGGTATAAGGTTAGTAGGTTGTCGCGTATATCTTTTCCATATTAGTAGTACTAGTTATATTCTTGTATTTTCTTATCCTTAGATTTTTGTTATTACCCGATATTTCTTTTGCGTTGATTTTCTTATTATCATATTGCTGTTACTGTTACTGCTCCTTTTTACATGGCTTCTCCACTATTGTATTTCTCTTTTTAAACTGATATGACTATATTTTCCTTGAGCCAAGTGTTTCTCAGAAACAACCTGTATCCGCAAGATAGGAATAAAATCTGTGTACACATTATCTTCCTCAAACCCCTCTTGTGAGGGTAGTTTACCCTGGATATGTTGTCATTGGTTCCCTCTCCTGGAAAACCATTGAGGTGGTTCTTTCTGTTTCCTCTCCTGTCGGTTGGTTTCTGTCTTCAGTTCCTTCCTTTTTCAATCAGTCCACAACTACTTATTCCCCGTAAACCTTGCATTTCAATGAAGGAACTAACCCTTTTTTGTCATGTTTGGAATTCCCCATGTAACTTGTAAATGTGGAAACTCGAGTTTCCCCATCTTAGCCTAAAATCCATTTTTTCATGTATAGCTATTTCTTGCTATGCCAGTTGACAGAAATGGAGTGACATGTAAATTTTAACCACTTTATTGAAAAGCAAGCATATTTTTCCCCAGATATTAGGCATACAATGTTCGAGTTTACCTCAGATATGGACCGTACAGCCTACATCAATTTGAGTCTAATCCGCATAGTGGAAAATAAAACAAATAAATATCCATATGAACTATACTAAAAGAAGAAGAATGGTAGCTGAGCCATCCCACAAAATCTTTTAGATATATTCTAAGCAATCCATCCAGAAACCAGACTAACATCTGTTTCCATTAGCTATTTCTATGGATTTAACTTATATATACCGACTCCAAGTGTACATTATCAGTGTAACTCAATCGAGCAATTTCAAAGTAGACCAAGGGAGACTTGGCTGGAGAAAGCTAGTGCTGAGGGCCGCCATTGGAACCATAAACAGGTCCGTATCTGTTGCGGAAAATACCAGCGTGCAGCAACAGTATATACAGTAATTGACTCACCATTGCTATGGTAATCAAGGCTTCCAAAGTTTGCTGTCCATTAATTATACCAACAAAAAGATAAGTTGAAATTACTTCTTAATAGAAGAACAAATTTTGTAGCTGAGTATGAAATGGTGGTAATAAATGGAGGTTTTACACAGACAATTACCAGGCGTTTTCCTCTGTGCCCTCCCATTATTATCTGCTTGCAAACTAGACTGCATCACAGGTTCATCGAACATTGTGAGAAGATATTTATTGTCTAATCATGGAACGTCTCAAAATAGTAAAAAGGAATACTGCCTTCAATCCATATTATGTCTTAAAACTTTAGACAACACGTATAGTAATCAGAGACGGACCCAGCATTTGAAAGTAGCAGGGTACCACCCTCGAATAAAAATTTGCGCATATGCTAAAGTAGGAATGAATCCAGACAACGTACTAAAAAGTCTAAGTCGTGCCCCAAAATCGACCAATGCAACAACCGAAAATTTGGATCTTAGGATGCCAATTAAAATATATACTTGTAATTTAAGATATATACACATCTTTTCTGAAGTTATTGGTGGCCGATGACCTTTATACCCAAAGGGTAGGTCCGCCTCGGATAGTAATAGCCATAAAGCATTCGTCTAAACTATACTTTCTCTTAAACATCACACTACTTACTTAATACTCCATTACCACTAATTGAAGTGGTAAGGGTTAATTTGGATATAATTAAGGTACTTAATAAACATTTCTTATTTTTCTAAATTTTGAAACAAATTCAATTGGCCAAATGACAAAGAATATATAGGTGGGAGGTAGTAATAGTTGTTAGTAGTATTACCCAAAAGCAAGAGCAGTAATGGCCCAAGAGATGATAGCTGAAGAAGCAGCACTAGCCAAACTTTGAGTATTCCATTTTCTGAGATGAACAAACCCCGCTAACATAGAGGAAGCACCCATGACTCCACCAATCAATGCAAACATCAACATAAAACTTGTTGATGGATTCCCTCCTAAATCTGTTACATAATTTACATTGAACAGACACAAAATTTAACAAACTATACTATCAAACAGAACTCAACACACATTATTTTATGAACAAGTAGCTAACATACGAGGGTGATTTTGTTCGCCATCTATGTATTTGTCAAGTGACCATCCAGCAAGTCCTAGTACTATTAAATAAACTACAAAGTTTATGATCAAGAATGGTCCCATTAGGCTTCTGCCACCCCTTCCGTTCGCCATTATTTGATTAACTTAATTAAGCTCAGCTGAGAGTAATTAGAGTTCCACTGCTTTTGCTTGTAGTATTGATGGTTGCATGTCTGGTTTTTTCCTGAAAATAGGAGTTTGAGTTTTTTGGTTGTTAGGATACGTGGTCGCTTCAAGAGGACTCCATTGCTGCACTTTACACGTGTTACAACGACCCTTCGTCGAGTTTTATGCTTCTTCTTTTGGTTGGTGGGCTTGCATTTGTTACTTAAGCCCATTGCGCAGACACTCTCGTAGAAGTGACACCAAAGTAGCCACTCTAAAGGGATGCTGTGCTGCTATTTAGGAATTAACCAATATGTTTTAAATTTTAATTTTTCAGTTTAATTATTTAGGACAAAATATCCTGAGTTGTTCAATTTTTAATTTAAAATTTCAAAATATAATAAATACTGACTAATTTTTAAATAGCATCCCTAAAAATGACTAATTATTTATCTTAAACTTGCTCGATAAATAATTTTTTATTCAACAATGAGCCATTGCACACTTCATGAATTATACCTTGTCAAAAATGTGAGCTAGCAGATCTATTCTAGTACTTAATTCTCTATATCGACTTTTATCTTCCTTGAGTTTTCAGTTATCTTTTACTCCTATAAACAACTTTTGCACCATTTAGGAGTGGGTCACTAATAAATATCAAGACACCATTTTTAGACAAGTAATACTTTTTTCTAGGGTGGTTATCCACAAAAATAAAGTTATTTATCCTTATCTACCCATTTATTTTTCTACCCATTAAACTAATTACATTTTCTATTCATAGTAGTTTTTGTGGAAAATTTTCTCTTTTTTCTCCAATTCTTTTTTATTTCTATGCTTCTTTTCTTTTTTTCCTTTTTTCCCCTTTTCTTTTTTCTCGCTTTTTTTTTATTTTTTTTCTCTTTTTCTATTCATTTATTTTTGCCTAAATCGTATTATTGTTATTTTTACCATAACTTATTTCACACTCAATTTTGACTCCTTTTTTTTCTTTTATATTTTTCTTTATTTCTTGTTCCTTTTTTTTCTTTTATTTTCTTTATTTCTTGTTCTTTTTCTAATTTCATTTAACTTCTTTTTTTTTTATATTCTTTTTCTCATCATAATCCAATTTCATTTATTGTTTTCACTATTTTTTTATTATTCTTATTTTTATACAATAAGAATAAATAATTGATATAGCAAATATTTGTTCACTATTTTTTTTAAATATAACTAGTATAATATACCTTTTATCTTTTTCTGATTTTTTAAATTCAATTATTAAACTGAAATAATATCAGTTGTCACTTGATTTAATTCACTGAATATAACACTGACTGTTGCTGAGCACCATAAATTACACAATCAGATTCTAAGAATCAACATGTGATTGCCATGCAAACCTTGATCTCCTTCCCTACAAATATGAGTACACACTCTACCATTAGCAGTAACACAACTAGTTATGGAGAAAGAAAAACAATATATAACCATCAAATCTCCATATATACTAGCTAGAATAGAAATGATAATAAAATATTAAAAAATGCAATAAAAGTATAAGTAGCAAAAAAGACTTCTAGCACCATATGATACCAATATGGTATACATGTATACCAACAGAGTATATGATTGCTCTAGAATATTGCTACAACTATTTGCGACTATAGTATTGTACCAAAATATTAAAGGATGCAATAAAAGTATGAGAAAATTACATGCTCGCATAGCAAGCTAAATATTCGCAAATCAACTTGCTCTATACTAACAGGGTACATATTTTTACGGGGTTGTTTCAACAATTGCCTAATTATAAAAACTATTACATAATACACATAATCTATGTCTATCGGTACAAAAAAATGTCAGCACTGCAAATCATGTTTATATAAATAATTCTAGAATAGAATTCACTTAAAAATGCAAATAAAACAAACAACAAAAAATAATGTTCAAACTACCATATGATACCAATATGGCATATAACTATACCAATATTGTATACAATTTTACTGATAAATTTACGGCAACTATATGACTATACTACTATTACATAACACACATGCATAAAGAGAAAAATAAAAAAAATAGTGTACCACATATTAATATAATAAAGTATTTCAAGATATTATACTATATTACTATTATTAAAAGAAAATCAAATAGTTTACCAATTAAATGCAGCTAATACAACCAAAAAAGGATTCAACTTACATATGATACCAATATAGTATATAGCTATACTAATAGGGTATATAGTTGTATGGGGTCGTTCCAACAACTGCATAAAACTATAAAAACTATTACATAATACACAAAATCTATGCCCATAGGTAAAAGAAAATCTAACACAGCAAAATATGATCATATAAATCATGTCAGAATAGAATTCATTTAAAAATGTAGCTAAAACAACCAAAAAATATTCCAACTACTATATGACACCAATATGACATATAATTATACCAATAGGGTATACAGTTCTACTAATTAATTTCAGGCAATTATATATGACTATACTACTATTACATAATACACATGCACAAAGAGAAAAATCAAAAAAATAGTGTATCACATATTATATAATAATATATTTTAAGATATTGTACTATAATACTATTATATAAAACAAACGCATAAAGAAAAAATCAAAATGATTACATAATACATACGCATAAAGGAAAATTAAAAAAATTCAAGATATTGTACTATTCTACTATTACTAAAGAAAATCAAACAGCGTACCAATTAAATGTAGCTAATACAACCAAAAAAGGTTCCAACTAACATATGATACCAATATAGTGTATAGATATACCAACAGAGTATACAATTGTACACTAAAAGTTTAAAAAAGATTTTTTTAATTTAATTATTAAACTGAATAATATCAGTTGTCACATAATCTAATTAACTCAATTTTATGCGTCATTGATTATACTAAAATTTAGATACGTTATAACAATATACTATATACCGTTTTGAAATGGAGAGTAAATTCATAAAAAATATTCAATGGACACGTACATCCTATTATGAAACGAGAAAGATAGAGAAAAACTTTTATTATATTTGAGAAGACAATAAAAGAGAAAATAGGTTGGGGCAATTAATGGGGTTTAACGTGATCCGAGAATAGAAAAGGAAAGGATTTTGAAAATAGATAATTGGGTAAATACTTTAGATTGCATAGGTACACATTGTAAGACAAATTAGAATGGACAGTAACGGGTAATTAAAAATTAAAATTGCCTGAATAGGCATTTAGAGTAGATTTCCCTTTAGTATGTTTTTTTTAAATTGTAGAATATAGGGAATATGTTGAATATAATGGATGGGGACTTGGGAACATTTCCAAAATATAGTTGTTTTAATATGAATCTTTTAAAATTTCAAAGAACAAATAAAATTCCAAGACAAAGATCTGTAAGATTCAAATTTTGTACATAAACATAGAAGAAATAATTAAGATTTAAAGAATAACAAAAAGATCTATAAGCATAAACCTAAGTTTTTTTTTTTGGTTCTTACTCATAAACCAGTGGTAAAGTTGTTGCCATGTGATCAGGAGGTCATGAGTTCGAGCCGTGGAAACAGCCTCTTGCAGAATGTAGGGTAAGGCTGCGTACAATAGACCCTTTGTGTTCCGGACCTTCCCCCTATTTGACCAAAAAGTTTTAAGCTCTTTGTTAAACTAATTAATGAGAAGAAAGAGGATAAATCTTAGCCAAGGATAATTAACTCTAGACCAAAGCACGTTAAGTACGAGAATTCAATATAATCAAGCTTGTAACCCTTTTAAGATTGTAAAAGATTTCATACATAAATGATAGGCTTACATTCTTGACGAATTGTTCCGTAATGTAAGAACACAGAAGAAAAAGAAGGAGTGCCATTGACAGCTACGAGATCTATCTTTATTGATTCAACAAATGACGATTACAAAGATTTCCATCCAAGATCTGGACCTTCGCTTTGTTTTCCTCAGAGACCTTCTCCTGTTCTTCTGTTTCTTTTTCGTGAATGAGAGAGTGCCCCCCCCCCTTTTTTTTTGTTTTGTCACGATCCAAATCCACTTCGGGTCGTGATGGCGCCGGACACCGTCGTCAGGCAAGCCAACTAACTAATCCATTGATTTCTCTTTTAATAATTTTAAAAATCCAAGAGTTTTACTTCCATTTTTCATATACATACAACCTCTGTTTCAATTCAAATGAAGAGATAACTAATAATACGCAACCTTCAAAGAAAAAAAAAACATCCCAGAATCCGGTGTCATAAGAGCATGAGCAACTACTGATAAGGACAATAAAATACAAATGTCTGTCCGAAATACAGCGGACAGAGAATAAATGAGTAAGGTACTGGAAGGGAACTACTCTAGCTGCGGGCCGTCTCGAACAATGCAACTCACCAAGTCCCCAAATCATCCGTTGATCACGCCCAACTATGCCTTATAAAAAGGACTCTGCGGACGTTGCAAATATAACCCGAGTATTACGCCCAGGGTCGAATCCACAGAGAGTTAACCTATCAACTGCTATCTTCAGACCCACTAAGTCTTCAGAACCAGCTTCCCAAATATTCAAATCTCAGTTGAGTGTTCTTTAACAACTAGCTTGCAAATAACTAAATGGCTGTAACTAAGTAAAAATAAAGGTTGTAAACAATTATGAGAAAAAGCTAAGGCAATGATTTCCCCTATTGATGGAATCCCTTCTGTTTATGCTCATACAAATTTACCCACACATCTCTATCAATCATGACCGCTAATCTTACCGTAAATCTCTCCCGAGTAATCACAGTAATTTACTATTGCACTCTCCCGAGATACACTAGCTTACTTTATTTAGCACGATTCACTTTAGATTACACCCAAGGATTCGTTATCCCTAATCCCGCCTTTAAACCCGCAATTATAGATTCCTCTAATAATCTAGGAGTGGTGTTGTTCAACAATACCCTAAATATGCACTCTTTTCCAAGTTATGCACACTAAATAGGCACAGCTAATTGAGGATCCTGTCAATTAACTACAACGAACACGAAGTTGAACAAATAAAGATTAAACTAGCAATTTGTATTCACATAAACAAGAAGTTCATCACCCAA